TATATATATATATATATATATATATATTTATAAATATGCATCTATCAAAAAGAAATCAAATATTTTTTCTAATTCCAGATTCACCAGTGTATAATCACAAAGAAAGTCTTACAAAATCATGATAAATTACAACAGCTATTTCTTATGTACGGACCAGTTTGAAACAGTATTGTAAGAGAAACTAATAAACTGACAATAAATACATGTAGATGCTCTGAGAAATATTATTTTTCCTATAAAAAATATTTCTTTAGAAATTCCAAAATGAGAGAATGTATCTTTTATACAACTAACAACCACAGATCTATAACAAAATTAGAAATGTCTGTAATAACATTAAAATTTAGTTTCATTTGTGTTCATCAAATTTGAGTGAGGAAACCTATTATGAATTTCCCCCTGATCTTCTGTAGCAGGTTGTTCTTTCAAGCTGGTTAACTTTGCAGGAGCACTTGTGCCTTGTCTTTTCATGTGAAGTCCTTCTTTACTGAGTTCTTCACTACTGCTAGATGTATCAGACACATTGCTGCATAGGTCCTCCAAACTGACTGTCAAGTTTTCTGAATCCCTACGTAGTCTTCGCTGGATGAGGCCCTCCATCAAGTTGTAGTCTGTTTCTTCAGCATCATGCAAAACCTCCAACTCTAAGGCCAATATATTGTGTTGGTTCTGACAGTTTTTGAGAGATTGAGATGGGCTAATGTGAGTACCAGGAGTTGGAGATTGGGGAGGAAACAAAAACTTGTTCTCAAGATCATCAGTGATGCTGGTATATTCTCCTTTCCTGGAAACCAAGTTTGGAAGAGGGGAGGAAGGAATCACACATATTTGGGGGTCCCACTGCAGCACTGGCTCAGTTTTGGATGTCTCTTGTGATTTAGTTGAAATAGGCTCATCTGGCTTTTCTTTCAGTTGTGCTATGATATTATCTTCTAACTGTTCAACAGGAAATTCTGGTGAAGTCACTGAAATTTGCCTGTATAACCCAGCATTTTCAAGTCTTCGGCGTCTCAACTGGTTCTGCAAAACACTATTACAAGATGATTTATTAAGATCAGCTAAAGGTGAGATTAAACTATGGCCAGTAGAATGTTCTTCACTATCAGCAAAAGAAACCTTGGAAAGATTACTGTCTTTTTGGCTGTTGCTACTAGAAGTAGTATATTTCCTCACGCGTCTGAGTTCCTCTGCATCCAACACTGTACTGACTGACCTTACCAAGCTGTTCAAGTCCTCTGATGATGTTCCTCTAGAAGACTGTGTCTGGTAAGTCATTTCACTTACTCTGGTGCTCATGAAGCGATGTATCACAGAAAGTGAAGTGGACGTCTGTTCTGCTAATTCTTCCAGTTTATTCAGTCTGTACTCCAGATTCTGCAGTGTACAACTGCTGTCTTTTTCTCTTTGGTTGATGTCTTCTACCCGTTGTCCAATTATTTCAGCTCTGCTCACCGGAAAATGGAGGAATAATGATTCTTTAAATTATAAAAACAAAATTTAACATTGCACATTATCTTCAGAACATTTTTACTTTCAACCACATTTCATTTCTTTAAAATTCATAATACATTCTGTCTCTTCCTGAAAAATTATTTAATAATATTATTTGTTGCCATTAAATACTCTTTTCTTTTGGCCAAAACAACAAATACATATGAAGAAAAATAAATCACCCATATGATTTGTTCAAAGTAACTGAAAAAAAGAATGGAGAACACCAAAAAAACTCAGTATTTAAAACTTAAATATAAAACAAATTGAAGATGTAGATCACAGATAATTTTAGGTACTTTCTTCTCTGTGTGTTCCGATCAATTTTACAGAACACACCTAATAAAAATAGCAATTATTAAGATAAATGACTTGAGGTAGGAAATCTTTGTTATGATAATTACAGATTTAAGTAATATCACATAGTTCACATGTATTAAGGATTTTACACATTGGAATGTAAACTATCATGAAAGGAATTTTTATATTTCCTTTTTATTTAGTAATATGAAATTTTATAGCAGTAAATATCCCATTCATAATATTATATATCAATTACTATTCTTAATGACTGAGGTAATGTAATTTTGTTCCCTGAACATCACTCCTCATGCACATGGCTTCCTACTTCTATATTCTTGCTCAAGTGTACTTCAACCAGGGTATTAACTGACTTCACATCTTCTATTTTAACCCTTTGTTTAGACCCAATGCTGGATCATGTAAAACTGAAACAGCCAAACACACATTTCTTCAAGTACTATCATTTCCACTCACACTGAGAAATAACCATGTAAGTACAGTAAGAAACAAGCCCTGGCACAATCAAAATAACAAATCTAACAAATGGTACACAAGACTAAAGTAAAGATATTATTAAACTGGAGATGTCACATTATTAGCTATGTCCCTACAGGTCCCCATAATCATGTGGCTAAAATAACAAAGTTTCTGTTAGTGTTGATTTCATTTTCTTAAATTTCCCATGAATACCATACTACATTAACACATTATAATGGGAAACAGTCAGTTACACAAGTCTTATGAAAACATGCACACTTGGGAACACTACAGAGTTGGAACAATAGATAAGTGAAGTAGCACTTGCTTTGGATAAGCAGACCTTGGTTGAAAATTGTACTGATATAATGGACCACTAAAGGATAAGCAGTTATCCATCACCATTTTTACACAAGAGAATCCATGTAACTTTCAAACACTACATATTTTATTATAGAAACTAACTGTTTACTTGTCAGATGTTGTTTGAACTTGCTGTTCCACTGATAACCTGTACTTCTTCTCTTTTTCTCGGAAGAATCCCTCAACACATTCCTCTTCAAAATCATGGATTTTCTCCACATCATCCTCATCAAGAAACAGTTCTGAAATGATAACCACCAGATTATTATCCCAAGAAACTTCTGAAATGATAACCCACAAGATTATTATCCCAAGAAACTTCTGAAATGATAACCCACAAGATTATTATCCCAAGAAACTTCTGAAATGATAACCCACCAGATTATTATCCCAAGAAACTTCTGAAATGATAACCCACCAGATTATTATCCCAAATTCAAAAACCAAATGATATAGAAAATTTAAAATAGTTCTCAAAAGAGACAATATCAAAGATAATTATATACTACCTACAGAACAAACACAGTTATACATTACACAAACTCAGGTATACATTACACAAACCCAGTTATACATTACACAAACTCAGTTATACATTACACAAACTCAGTTATACATTACAAAAACTCAGTTATACATTACACAAACTCACTTTATGATTTTACTTAAAACAATCATTTCTTTTCAGAAAAATAAATACAGCATTATTAGTCAACTATGCTATTATAAATACTGTTGTTATTAAATTAATGGTTCTTAAAAACAAAATCTAATTCTCTTCTTTGAAAAAGACTTCAGAATGAAATGCAAGAGTTCTCTTTGAAATCACTGGCTAAAGAAACAAGTTAATGCTCCATAAAAATTTCCCAGGTCAAAATATGTAAATACTAAAACACTTTTTTATTCAAGAAATAGCTTTAATTTGAAACTAACTTTATAAAAAATCAAATTAAAACCATTCTTGTAAGTTTCGTTTCAGCGTTTTATTTTCTTTGTGATATTACTACAACAACCCTCATTTCCCTTCTCTTCTTAGGCAAGAATGAACCATAAAGTAACTCCAAAGTTTCAGATAATTATTATTTACTTCGGTTTCATTAAATATTTATAAAAATATATAAAAAAAAAAGGTACTCACTTAGACCATGATCAAAATTAAGACTCTTGTGACTACTAATATATTTCACCAGCAAATGAAGGTGGGAAAAAATGATAAGAGGAGGGGGAAGAACTGGCTTCTGTTCATATTCCATCACTACTCGAAATCTATTGTATTTCCACACTTCTTGGGCCATGGCATTGACTTCCATGAAGATGTTACTGGAAAAGTATCCTTAATTAATAAATTTTTGATGTGACAATTCTTTTCAGCTCTAGATAGCTATTACTGAAAGAAATCGACTCATTAAATAAACTAACTGATGAATTCACTGTTATTGTCAATTTTTATGTTTTCTCTAAAAAAATATTTATGTCTTAAACTCATTAATGCCTTGCACAGTGCATCTCATGTCCTCGTACAACATATCTCTGAGAGATACTTGTATGAATTACTTCATAATGTTTTTATAACATACCACAGAAGGTTCCTTTGTAAAAGAAACAAATATGATCTTGATGTTTAATTCACATCATAAAAAATTAAACAAAAAAATATTAAATGATCTGATTTTTAATTTTAGACTTACTTTGTTCAATCTTACATCATAATAAACTAGGAAAATATTACAGGATTCTGTGCTGCAGGTAATAAAAACATTGAATTATTGAACAAAACCTCTAGTTAATGTAGATTTCTATGTCAAGCTTCCTTATTTGTTTTTCAAAACCTTCATTAATTAGAATGTAACACTACCTGAAAATATTAAAGAAAAATGATATGATAATTCACTCACAGTCACATTTCAAATAAAAATTGTTTCTATCTCTATTTCTTCCTGATCTTCTAATGTTTAATTTCAAAAGACCTTCTTAAATATATATTATCAACTAAGAATGGTCAATCCTCACAATGTTTACCAACTAGTTCTGGTAATCTTTAAAAATTTGACTTCATGATTGCAGTCAACAATCATGAAAATTCACTGACCACTTACACGGTTACATTTTCTCAGAAAATCAATAAGGTATGTTTAGAAACTTCTCAGTTTTTGGTTTCTTTGGAATGAATTATGATTGTTTTACACTATACTAATAAATCACTCTCTAAGATACTTCATTCTAGAAATTGTTAAGCTAAACTTAGATAAGTAAGAAACAAGTAAAATAACAAATGACTAAATAATAAATTAAGTGACATACTTGAAGACAGCAATCAGTAAGTTGACAAGCAGAATGTTCGCTATCAACAAATACACAGCCATAATGGCAGGGTTAAGCCACTTGCCAGTCGGACAAATCTCATCATCGTGACACACGGCTAGAAAATGGAGAAACCTGAGTTAGCACTGGTAATACAATACTTTTTATTATAAACTGAAAGCACTGGTAATACAGTATTTTTTATATAAACTGAAAGCACTGGTAATACAGT